GCACATGTCACTGTATAGATGAACTTCCTAACTTTGATCTTAGGATACTTAATTTAAACAAGTTCATGAAGGTTTAATCTTGAGAGGATAATAACTTAATTCTTTTGCTAGATTTCCATGGCTTCAGTTAGTTGATCAAAATTGGGTTAAGAACAAAGAACAGCATTAAGACTTAAAATTCATCAATTGGAAATTCAAAATTTCTGCTCGAGTTGTTGCATCCTAATTGATTTGGAGGATGCCCCCACCACAAGAAAAAAAGAACAGTGAAGAGTTTTGACTTACTTTAACGGGTTGGCCAACAATCTCTGACCAATAGTCACAAAACTGGTTTCCTGATTTGACATGAACCATGCAAGAGAAGAAACACTGAAATGATAGGCAAAATAATTTTTTAGGATTCTAAAATTTCCAGAAACTGGTTTTGGAAAGACATAAATTATATAATTTCTTCAATAGCAGCTAAGAGTTACTTACGATCCTGTAAATATGTGCTCTCTGAGTCCAAGAATGGTAGGGTACCTAACACCATCATGCTTTTTAAGAAATTCTTGAAGTAAATTCCTCATTTTCAAGGCTTCTTCCATGTAATTATCCTACAGAGACATCTCAAGAAACTTAAAATAGATCAAGAGAATGATATAATTAGCTCTGGTAGAAAAACAGCAAAAGCTACCTGGTTCATATCTATTGTTTGCAAACCTTCCCCACGAGAGAAAATGATTGCATGATTTTGGTTTTCAGGCTTTCCCTCACCCAAAATAGCAGGTCCTGGAAGTTTTATCCGATAAATGACCTGTGAGAACATCAAGATAATAAAATGAGTGAAAAAAGTGAAAATTCTTACAAATTTTATGCACCTAAAAGCAAAATTTTATAATTTTCAGAAAAGATTAGTAAGGATAGATATGTCAAAAATTAGAAATTTGAAAGATCCTTTTGTTTCTGTCAAAGAATTTTGAGGCTAAAATACATTTCAGTTTTTGAAGGTGGGATAAATAATTTCAATCCTAAGACTGAGCAGGATGCTAGGATAGGCTAAATACAAAACATTTTGGCCATGAAAGCATCCACCTGAAGAAAAAGGTAGTGATAGCAAATAACACCTAAACAAGAAATCAAACATCATGAGCATAAAGAAGCTGACAGTTGCTCTTGATATCATCTCTAGCGAAGGATAGCATTATGGAAAATCTGCTCCGCCAAATGCAACAGGTATTCTCGACCATGATATGCTGATTTTTTTTTGAAATAAAATGACATGCCAAAAATCAATAAATAGATTATTGAAATAATTTAAGCATGCTATCCTTTGTCTTACTTGGACTCTCCAATTCTCGTGCTGCAACTTTGGCACGGGCATTGGATCTGGGTCCAACAATTCATGTGCATAGTAGACTAGATGGTTTGATGCGTAATAATATGGAGGTGATGATGATGACTCCTAGGCTAGATGTTAAAATAGACCATGAAAATGGAAGCACACTTTCTTCAATGTTTAAATCTTGAACTTGCTATGCATAAGTAACAAATAAGCAGTATGTATAATCAGCATCAACCTCCTTTTTCTTTTCACTACAAACATGTACCGCCTATTTCTTTTAGCTTCCTTATAAGCTGATATTAATTTAATGTTTTTTAATATATCAAGGAATCCAAGTACCCGCCCAAAATTTTTGGCTGCCGTTCACCAAAGCTCTATATATTTGAGTATGAAAATTGCCATATCCAAACATCAATGGCAGGGAGCCCAAGACATAGGCTATGATTGCAAGAAAAGTAGTTGAACCATTCCCTCTCATTCAATTGGACCTACATTCAAACATGCCAGCAAAAGATATAGAGCATATTTTTAATTAGATTGAAGAAAAGTTTAGGAATTAAAAAGTTTAGATTTCTTGATTAGGTTGAAGAAAAGAGAAGGAATTCCGATGACATTTTTGCTTAGGACGCTTCATGACAAAGGATTTTGACTGTATAAAAATGGAGAATACATGTTTGTTTGACAATTGTTCTTTAAGGCCACAAACTGTACTTTACAGAGTTTGTCTTGTAAATGGGTCACAAAAAGGAGCTGTTCTTTTCTTTTTTCTTATCAAGAAAGGAGCTTTCAGAGAGAACATTTCACAGTGAAGAGTGCATGGCATGTTAGGCCATGTTTATTGACTGCAGCAACTACTTAAGGAACTCTTAAGCTGAATATGCAGCAAGTGAAGCCTCTGCAGGTCTGAAGATATTATAGTTTATCAATAAAAATCAAACATGCGGAGGAATTTTGAAGCTGATTGGCCCATTTGGTCCAACTGAAATGATCTACCTTTTCAAAAGATCAACAACACAAGGTCAAGGGGGATGCTTCTTTACCAGACAAAAGAATTCAGAGAAATTTACACATTTAGAAGTGCATTTATTATTAAAACCCATTTTCATGGTCATTTTTACAAAGTGAATAAACTGTGTCAGTTTATCCACTTATTGGACTGGTTAAACCCAATACGTTTTTCATAGAGGATATCAAAGCATTTTTTCCTGTATACACTACATTAGGTCCCTAACCTTCAAATAATCCTAGAAATAAATCCAAATTAGGTTTTACCTGGTCCAGGTTTTGCACAGGCTCTGAAGAATCGATGGACTTTGGTGCTGCCTTAACCAAAGCAGAGTAATAAACCTTCTGGTTTATCTTCTTGGACTTGTCTTTGTTCGGTTCTTCAACCTCATCTATGTAAGCAACACGGAGAGATGGGTATCTGCCATTTCAAGTTACAGTTATCAGTTAAGCTAGACCCAGTATTTCAAAAAGAAAATACTTCCAGACACTTACGCAGTCATAAGCCCCAATATATCCTGGGCACGAGGATCACCAGATCGTTTATGAATACCATACTGCTGGCATGATACCACATAGGTGAACTTCATGTCAGCTACGGCTTGACACTGCGCCCATAATGATCTTTCCCCCTTGGAGTTGTCTTCTGTATTTAATTCTATGGCCTTATAACCTTCCATCAAATCTGAGCAGAAACAATGTCCAAAATCAGGTCAAAACAATTAACCACTCAGGCAATTTGAGTTGGATACCTTAAACAGTCTTCTCTAATCCTATCAGGAATTTAACATAGATTACAGCCTCCACTCCGTCTTTTGCAAGGTTTAATTTTGCTCTAAGCCGGGTTGATCAGGCTTGGCATTACATTCCTTACCGGTCTCCACTTCAAGGAAACCTTTCCATGACATCTTTGTCATCTTTTGATTCTAAGTTGGATGATCATCATGTAGACAGTTTTAAGTCTCTTATCCTAATGTACCTATTACTCAATTTGCTAAACTAGCCTTTAGTTAACATTCTGTAGTATGCATCCATATGGACATGCATAAACATTGGAACTACTTAAAATCAAGTACTACTGGAGAACTGATTCTGTAAACACAATGTCTAACTGAAAGCAACAAACAACTTCAATAGTTCCTACCCGGAAGGGTCCATACCTTCATGTTTGGCCATGTCAAGAAAAGCTTGAAGCTCCAGAGCTTTCCGATAGTACATCATACCTCTAACTGGTAACAAGGAAGAAACATATTTTGGTAAGTGTCGACAGATCTGCAAGCAGAAAGATAGTATGGGGGGAAGTGACTGAGGGAGGAGAGAGAACATAATTTTTAGAATTAATTGTACCAGTTCTAGTCAAAGTTTGTCCCCTATAGGATGCCCAGAGACGAAGTTCTTCTTCTAGTTCCTCATCACCTTTAATTTCTTCTTCTGTTTTGCAGCTTACACGCTCAAGAAAATTTTTCCACTCATCTGTGCAGTAGCACCAACATTACAATGAATCTTGAGGGAAAAATAAATAAGTTTTATGTTTTGTAGGATAAGCAAAGAAAAGAACCTGGAAAGATCTTTTGCAAGTAAAAGAGAATAGAAACACCATCTTCATTTTGCTCTTCCAAATCGTGCAACGAAAAGAGAACTTCCTCTGTGTAGTATGGAGTTAAAACACTACAGCAAAGAAATTAGTGCTTCAGAAACATTCATCCTAACCAAAGCCAATAGGTCAAGGAAGTCCCATTTTCTTCAGTGTGATGGAAAATGATCGTATGTCACCATTAGACTATTTTGGCTTGCCACATGCAGGGGATTCACACTCAAACCTAAGCTCAAGCTTTTAGAAGGATTCCGATAAAGAAAAAAACAAAAACAGAATACTTTTGCAGCCTAACGTCATAAACTTATACATACTATTCTGTATTATAGGAGAGCTACTAGATAGAATAAAATACAAAAAGAAAAGATTTACAGACCTACGATAGAAG